ACTTTTTGGTTTAACAGCAACCTTGTCCCTCAGCGTCTCACATCCAGTCAGTTGTACAAGTCTTGACAACCACAGGGTCTGTGGCTTTCTCTGGAATTTTCTCTATTTACCTTTCCACTTAGGGCAAGACCGTTAATTCATATACTTCTGAATGTATTAGCAATTGCAGACCTTGTTGCATGTGTCTGTGTGTCTTGTGTGTAAGATGGTATACCGGGATCTATCCAGGGCCTCCTACATACCAGACAGTCTACCACTGTACTACATCTCCCGCCCTTTTAATTTTGAGACAGGATCTTACTGTGTTGCCAAAGCTGACCTTGAACTTATGACCCTGCCTCAGCCTCCCAAGTAGCTAGAATTGCAGATGTGGGCCACTACACATGGCTCTAAACTTTGTCTTAATCTATAAATTGGAAGTTAAAGGCAGTTTTTCGTAACAGCCCTGTCCTGTGACTTGAAGGAGACTTGAGTGACCTTCAGGGCTAAAGTGCTATCAGTGACTACTTCAGTTAAAGTCAGTTGACAAATTTTATACCATGTTTGCTAATTGGAGACTCTTTTAGTAGGGATACTTGCTACCCAGTGTGCAAATATTGAGTTACTTATTCCTCTGGGAAACTTATGTGAATAACCAAGCATAATTACTCATTTTGAAGAAATCTTCATAGTCATTAGAGGGGTACATGATCTGGTAGCATTTTCTTAAACATTTGAAAGTCTTTTCAAGTACCTCTAATATCAAGTCACTATATTTGAGGGAGAGAAGCAAGTTAATACCTGCTTTCACAAGAGAAGTACAGTTTCAAGGGTATGTATGGTGTCCCTGTAAAGAAAGCATTTGTTCATAAGTTTGAGAGCTCTCCACATTAGCCCAAGAGAATACGTTGTTGTCATTGCCTTAAACATAGCCTAAAACCAGCTGATGAAGCATCAAGTTCATATCATATTTCCCCAGAAATAAGACCTAGCTGGAAAAGAATCAGCCTTGAAAACTAGAGATCAAAAATGCCAGCCCCAGCCGGGCATGGTGGCGCATGCCTGTAATCCCAGCAGTTGGGAGGCTGAGGCAGGAGGATTGTTGCAAGTTTGAGGCCAGCTTGGGCTACAAAGTGAGCTCAAGTCCAGCCTGAACTGCATAGTGAGACCCTGTCTCAAAAAGACCAAAAAAAAAAATGCCAGCCCCAATCACCCTATATTTGCTTTCCTTGCCTTAAGAGTAGCCACCGAGCAGAAGAATAATGATGATTGATTGATGGTGGATTAAAGTCTTTGGTTTTAGAGATAACTGCTTATGAGTAGTCATTCCAGCCTGTCCTTTTCTGCTCACACCACTGAGAAGCACTCAGTGGCTTTGTGCAATATTTGAGGCTACAGAAATCAGGAAGATATCCAGATGGATTTTGCATGGAAAGATGAGGAGCTAGAGCTAAGGCCATCACTAATAGACTTCTCAGTAAGGTTAAGGGGAAAGGCAGTCAAATACTGCTTGGAGTTAGTTCTGTGATGGAGGGTGACAGATCCAGCAGTTAGTAAAATTTAATGTGGTTGCAACTGGAAGAGCCATAAGAGAAGGATTTCTTTCGTGAGCAAGGCTGTAGGAGTACAGTAGAGATCATTACCATTCCTCTTTCCGTTGTATCTCTCAGGATCTAAGATGCGCCTTTCCAGGTGTCAGGGTTGTTCTCCATCCACCTCCACACAAGCAGATGTCTCCATCTCAGTAGCTGTAGCTTCACCCTGCTCCTCACTATTCTTCACTTCAGGCCTTTTGTCTGGAAGGGTCAAATACAAGAGAG